GGAATCTAAAACTAACTCCACTCTCAAGTCTATTCTCTGATCACAAAGCATTTCTCAATACCTAGTCTTTCACACTTCTGCCTTATTTCATGGATATATGTGTATTTTATCTCCAAACAAATTATGAACTCCTTAAGGAGCAGGCCTATGACTGCACCATTAATTATTCCATGCATTCGTTACTAAATGTTTTGACTCTACCAGGAACTTTCTTCATTGTCACATATGAGGCATTAAAAATAAAAAAAGGAGCCAGGCTTGGTGGCTCAGCCTATAATCTCGCGCCTTGGGAGGCTGAGATGAATGAATTGCCTGAGCCTGCGGGTTCGAGACCCGCCTGGGCAACTTGGCGAGACCTCATCTCTACAATAAATCAAAAATTAGCCAGGCATGGTAGCGCGTGCCTGTAGTTCCAGCTACTTGGAAGCCTGAGGCGGAAGGATCGCCGGAGCCCAGCAGGTCGAGGCTGCGGTGGCCGAGAGCAACCACTGCACTCCAGTCTGGGCGACAGAGTGAGACTCCAACTCAAAAAAATTAAAAAATAAATAAAAAAAGGAAAAAATTCATTTACTTCATTGCATATTTTAGTGTATGCTAAAGGTACATTCAGACAATAAAAATAAAATAAAAATACAGAAATACAGTATGCCATGGGCTAGACATGGTGGCACATGTCTGTAATCCCAGCACTTTGGGAGGCAAAGGCAGGAGGACTGCTTGAGCCCAAGAGTTTGACATCAGCCTGGTCAATATAGTGAGACCACTTCTCTTTCAAAGAAAATATAAAGAAAAAAATTAGCCGGGCATGGTGGCACACACCTGTACTCCCAGGAGGAGGAATGCTTGAGCCTAGGAGTTTGAGGCTATGATGAGCTGTGATCATGTCAATGCACTTCATCATGGGCAACAGAGTGAGACCTTGACTCAAAATAATAATAATAATAATCAGAAAGAAAGAAAATATAGTATGTCAAATAGTGATAAGTGCTATGAGGAAACTGAAGCAGTCAATGAGAATGGGAAACACTGGATAAGGCAGAAACAGCTATAATTTTTAACAGGGAGCCACATTTTTAACAGGGAGTCAAATTACATAAAGCACATTCCTGATAATGTACCATTTGACCAGGAAGAAGCAAAGACAAAGACAAAAGCTCCCGTGACATAAAAAAGGCCTATCAAAGGGGCCAATAGGGCTAGAGTGGAATAAGGGAAGGAAAGATTGGTAGGTCTATATTGGGTCTTGCTGTGATTTGTGTTTTTGAGAGAAATGAGGAGCCAAAGGATATCTGGGGGCAGAGGAATACTATTTTCTTGACTCTCAAAAAAGGTCACCAGGGCAGTTGTTTAAGTATAGACTTAAAAAGATGTAAAATTGGAAGCTGGGGCTCAACCTCAGACAGTAAAAGAGCTTGGAAGTGGTCACTCCCGTTCTTACAACAAAAAGCTACATGGTCTGAAAATCAATAACTTGCCTTAGAAGCACTGGTGAACTGGGGTAGCAGGACCAACTAGCACCTTGAAATCTGGAGTGATAGGCAAATCCAGAGAGTCACAGCAGAGGGAGTTTACCTGGAGCAGAAGCTGCTAGAGGCAGAAACTGTTAGAAACAATGGTTAATTCTTACAAGATGCTGGACACTAAGTGTGAACTATATTGAGAGCCAGAAACTCTCAAAGGTGTCATCTGAGTGGACCCCCACACATTTGTGAGTTTTGTCTCCAGGGAGTCCAGTAGATTCTCACTGAGAAGAGCCAGGAAAGATGCACTTCTGGCTCTGGATGGGAAGGGAAGAAGAATAAATTTTATGAAATATACCAGAGCATTCACCACGTCAAAGATCTACTATTCTTCAAGAGAAAAACCTTATGAAAGCATTATCCAGGGATCCAGGGGGAGGGTATTTCTCTCACTCCAGACCCCTCTGACCTTTCTGTCACAACCGGAATGGGACACACAGAAAGCTAAGAGACACTTGTGAAGGTCGTAGTCCAGAAAGACTGAGATTTAATTATAATAGGACATTTTCCTTCAACTATGCCTTACCACCAAACCAAGAGGGCTCCAGTATAGTAACTGTGGAAGCTCAAAGAGATGCAAAACAAACTCTGTGTCCTTAAAAATGCTCAAAGACAACAGGGAAGACAAAAACACAGGACACAAAGGAATTTGACACCTCTGGCACCTGTGGCTATACCAAACATTAAATACAGTCTATCTCCTAGCCAGGTGAACATAAAACCTCACACTCAGGTCTATTTGCCTCATTTCTTATTACCTAATTCATCATGTCTGACTTGAAACAAAGAAGTACAAGACATGCTAAGAGGCAAGAAATAGAAGCTGAGTGATCAGGTGAGAGTCTGTTAATAATATTCCAGATGAAAGATGATGATGACTTTGTGCCATGGTGGTAAAAAGTGGCCAAGTTCTGGATATGTTTTTGCAGGTAGAATAGAGGATTTGCTGATGAAGTGGATATGGGGTGTGAAGGGAAAAGAGGAGGCAGAGATGTCATCAGGGTTGCTGGAGAGAGCTGCTAGAAAAATGTAGAGGCCAGCTACAGAAATGGCAAAGTCTGCAAGAAAAGCAGGTAGCTGGGACATGTGAGGGGAGGCGGGTTTCAGGAATGTAGTTTTTAATGTCTCTAAGGACTTATCAAAATACTGGTCAGTCAGGCATTCATTTAACTATTAATATCTTGGAGTATCTAAATATTATAGCACTTCTCAAATGTTAGAAAGAAGACATGTTGAAAACCAAGGAAATGTTTAATACACATTTTACTAACTAACTGAATGAAGGAATAAAAGAAATGATCAAGCATTTTAACTGTCATAAATATCTTACAACAAAAACTGTCACCGATAATAGTAATAAATGCTGGAAAATACATAAGAGTCACCAAATGTTTTCACCTATTCTAGGATAGAGTCTGCTACGTATAACCTGGTATCTGGGTATCTGCCCTCCCCTTTTTCCAGGGTCATAAAGTTTGGCTGGGTACTTGGCCTCCCAGAATAAAGATAACATTTCCCAGCCTTCTCATAGCTAGGTGCAGCCAATGGTCTGTGAGCAAACGTGGTGTGTGCAATTTCTGTGATATGCTCTTAGAGAGAATGGGTACAGCTGCCATTTGCCCTCTCTGCCCCGATTCCTGTCAGTTGAAGTGCTGATGTGATAATGAGCCTTCTTGGACCATGAGGACAGAGTGACACCACTGAAATGGCAAGGGAACAAAAGAGAAGGAGCACAGATCCTGAAAACCCAAGGCGCCATCTAATCAGCTCTGTGCTTGCACTTTCTTAGATTGTTACATGAAAGAATAAGGTTTCAATCTTACTTAAGCCACTGTTATCTTGGCTTTTTGTAACAGTAGCTTAGCCTGCAACTTAACCAATAAATGTAATAAATCCTCAGAACAACACTGTGATGCAAATAATATTATGTGGCTTTGTGTTTTAATTCCTTATCATGTACCTGTTTTAAACAGCAGGAAAGTAAATTGGCAACACTGCCTCATTCTGGATTTTTTTTTTTTTAAGCAGGAGTTTACTAAGAAGACAGAAAAGCTCCCAAGCATGAGGGGCCAGAAAATGGTTGCCCCTGTTCTAGATCTTTATATCTACCAGCGAAGAAAAACTCGCTGAGAAGCATTCTGCAAAAGCAAATTACAACAACTTTTATAGCAATATTTCGGTCCAGGCATTCAATAAATTGTGCAGTACTTACCACCCAGAAAAGCCACATGGTAATGACTTTTTGTAGAGAATTGAGGAATTACATGCTATTCAGTGGCTCAACTTCAATGCTTCAATTTCCCATTAAAATCTTTGCAATCTACTAAGCCTTTTAAGTACCAACAATTAGTTCCCTGGCTTCAAGAAAGGTGTAGTTGCTCACTGAACCCTTGACTTAATTTGTGCTAATCAGATAAGGATGCCAAAGTGGCTTTTGGACTATATAGATCTTTGGATACTCATCCTAATAGATATTAGCAGGGCATTTTCATACATTTGACAATTTCACACCTCCAATATTTGAATCCTGGTATGGAATTTTGCTGGAAGTCGTCGAGAAATTCCAGTTCAAATACTATATAAGCAAACATATTCTAAAGAAGAACCTAAAAATGGTTTATGAGGAACAAGACTAGCACAATTTATTATATTTCTGCACTAAAAATGTACTCTTGCTTTTGTTCAGTTCTCGAGCTTCCATTTCATTTAAACCCAGAGCAATCCATCACAACAGCTTTTGACTATTCATTTTTGTTTTACAGGAAACGACTTTCTACTCTAGTTATTGATTCAGAGATTTGCTAAAATAATTTTCTAAGTCAAAAGCAATAATGAAAGATATAATCAATGCTCTCATTACACAGAGAAAAGTGTATTTCCCTAAGTGTCTTAAGAACGCAACTAACAACATGCTGACTTCTTGGCAACAGTCAGATTATTTAGCCTCTGCAAAGCAAAGGATGACTCACACCTGCATGTGTACACACTGACATCTAGAGACATAATTCCAAGATTCAAAGGTAGCTGCACCTCCAAGTCTTTTAAAAGTGTTAAGGTAAGCCTCATGGTATTTCCCCAGAAGATGCTTGGAAAACAGAAGAGCTAAAGTATACTTGGGTACAAAAACCTGACTTTTATTAAATGATAACAGAGATGTCCATATCAGTATTTTAAAATGTGGAAACCAAGTATTTTTCAAAATTCTTATAATAGTCGATGTTTTTACACAACAGGAACTCTCATTCTTCTGGACAAAGTCAGGAACACCAGAAAGTATTTCCTTATTCCAAGTCAGAAATGCTGACTATATCTCTAAATTGGTTAGACGGCTCAGCTCTTAAAAAAATAAAAAGAATGAAAGCTATGGGTATTGTAGGAAAGGATGTCTTCTTCCTTAATATATGTTTAAGACAAGAAGCAATGATATAAAAAGACTGAAAGTGTAAACTGCCCAGGCAAAAGCATAAAATAAAAGATTACCTTTAGCTGGGTTTACTTTTATCCCTGACCTATACAGCATTTCCTCATTCTGCCAGTCTCCATTCCTGATTGCAGTCTTGAGTCCATAGAAAACAATTAACGTAGCTGTAGCATAAAAAATCAAGCTCTTGAGAAACCGCTTTCGGACCTTGACGTAAAGAGCTCTAGCACCCACTGTGATCAAGAGGCAGAAGCCCATACTAGGAATATATAACACTCGCTCTGCGATTACAAAGCCGACATAGAAAAACAAGTTCGTGGCAGGAACAAAGGGGATTATTAACAAAGATAAAGACAGAACAATGATGTTTTCAGTAGAAGGAAGCTGGATTCTCTGGGATGTATTAGTTTTAATGCCATTTTCCACTTTGGATGCGAAGCTGGGCTTAATCTCTGAGTTCCGGTCCTCCACATCTGAAAGGCAGCTATGTCCATTAGCATTCTGCTTGCCATTAGTGACAGCCTTCCCATTGCATTCTCCTTCTATGCTTGGGCTCTTCAACCCGTAGTAGGCGAGGAGGAGGAGTCCAGTATAGAAGGCCACAGTGTGTAGGTTTCTCCAATCACAAATTGTTTTGAGCAGAGGCACAGCATCCATGGACCAATCAAAACTGAGGGTATCTGGGCACAGCAACAGCCAGAGGTTCTTGGTTGGCAAGTAGAAGAAGGTGAGTGTCCGGACCAGGAGGCTATCCGAGTCAGCAGCTGGGTTGTCCGAGTTAGAAAAGCTTGGTGGCTTGTTTCCCATCCAGTATAACCGGGCACCCAAAAGGGAGGTCCCCCAGAAAGTTAACAAACTAATGCTGAGAAAAAGAGAAAAGTTCTTCCTCTGAAACCAAAAGAGAAGGGGGAAAAATTAAGATCAATACCAATATAGCACAGAATTTATATTTAGAGATAAAAATGCATTTTTAAATGGATAGTTAAAATGCAGCATTATGTCTTAAAATGATGTCTTTGTTTCCATTTTCTTTTAAACATGCTTAAGGATATTTCAACCTCCAAAAAATACTGAATATGGAATCCTAGTTTGTATATAACTTTCCATGAGTATCTTTTCTTATTTTTCCCTCTAAAATACCAATGACCAAAGATTCAATTTGTTGACCTCTACAAAATGGATTCATTATATTTCCCTCTCAGAATGGGTGTCAGATCACAATGGGACCATGATGTAAAAGTACTCAGCACTCTGCATAAGATATAGCAGGCACCTAGTAACTGTCTTCTTCCATTTTATAGTTTATAATTTTTGGAGAAAAACAAAAAGCAATTGTTTCCCAAAATATATGGCATGACAGGATTCTGCTCAGCTCTAAGGTAGTAAAGGCATTTAGCTATGTCTAAGCCAGCTCCTCTTTCATTGTCTTGAAGAATTCTGTCCTTGCACAATTTATAAGCCAGGCTTTCATCTGCTGCCCCATGCTGTCACATCAGTGACATCTAACATTTAATAACACTCCTCATGAATCCCAAATCTTTCATGTTGATGACAACTTTTCAAAATGAAATGACTTTAGTAACAAACTAACTTACTTCAAGAGAAAGACAAAAAATTGTGAGAGAAAGGCCATAGGGTAATCACGGTAATGAAAATTTTCTAGCAAACTCCTTCAACCTGAGCAGAAACTTAGTGATATCTAACAATGTGGCTGGGAGAAGGAAGAAGGATGAGTACCATACAACAACTTTAATAGTTCATTGGTAATGCCATCACTTATGATAAACGTTCTGGTATTATGTAGAACTGTCTTACTCACTGACATTCAGAATAGTGCTTGGAGTTTTATAAAGCATATGCCACATATTGAGTATAAAATCAGTCTGCAGGGCATGGTGGCTACATCTGTAATCCCAGCACTTTGGGAGGCCAAGGCAGGAAGATTGCTTGAGCCTAGGAGTTTGAGACCAGGCTGGGCAGCACTGCAAGACCTTGTCGCCACAAAAATTAGCCTGGCGTGGTAGAATGAGCCTGTAGTCCCAGCTACTTGGGAGGATGAGGCAAAAGAATCGTCTCAGTCTAAAAGCTCAAGTCTGCAGTGAGCTGCGATTGTGCCCCTCAACTCCGGCCTGGGCGACAGAGTAAGACTCTGAGTAAAAAAAAAAAAAAATCTACAAAGTGCAATATTTCTTAAGCCTGTGCAACTTCAACTTCCATTAAAACAGTATCTAGGTATTATATACAGCTGCCACACTGAACTATCCTCCTCGTACTTCTTCTCTTCCACCCCAACTCTAATTGCTGGCAGCCATGGCGCTGCTCATGGGACTTCTTCTCCATCTCTGCTTTCAACCTACTGATCAAAGCAAGGTCCATGACTTTAAACATTATTAATCTATGCTAACAGCTCAACCTATACTTTTCCTTCACTTCTCTTAACCTCCGTATTATTTGCCCCTTCACCTCCATAGTCATTTATTCAGTTACCTATTGGGCACATTCACCTACGTATTTCAAACTCAAAATGTCCAAAATAGAACCCTTGACTTCACAGCTTCTCCAAACTAAATAAAACAGTTCCTCCTCCAATAATCCTGTCAGAACATGGTAATACTGTATAACCCGTTCCTTTTTCACAGCCTCTTTCCTTCTTTCCACATTCCATCCAATACCAAGTCATCTCAACTTCTTCAAAATATGTCCTGAATCTGTCCATTTTTCACCACCTCTTCTGTCATCAGTAGTCCCAAATGCTAACAGCCAGGGTTCCCACAATAATCTCCTTCTAACTAGTGAGCTTACTCTTAACACAGATTGTTAAGAATTTAAAAGGAAAAGGATAGGAAGTCAGAAGCTAACAATTCAGAATGAGAAAAGTGAGAAATAGCAACCATATGAAAATTACAGACAATTTTGAGAAGTGGAATTGTTCATCAGTATCAGATCACAGTAATGCTAAATTCACAATATTAACTGTCTCGGTTTTTAAAACATCTGTGCCAGACATTTGCTCAAGATTAATTTTACGCAATGCTGTATGGAAGTTTTATGGTAGGAGGAGTAATATCATGTTCGGCCTCACCAATCTTTAAATTTTCACTGGCAAAATGAAATACTTCAAAGCCTCATTATCATCTAAGATTAACCCTTGTAAATCATTTATTTCCTCTCCTGAAATTCTCCCGGCAAAAATTCGAACTTTTTTTATTTTGAAAAAAGATAAATAAAACACAAAACTATACATAAAAACTTGTAATGGTTAGATCTACCAATCCCATCATTCAGTACTCTTAGATTACACAAGAGGAAAACATACCATTTGGCAAAGATAAATGAGATAAGGTATCATGAATAAAGAAGATTGAATTTAAACCAAAAGCCCATTTTTAAAATGTGACCAAGACCATTCTACTTCAGTAGCTCGTGGGGGGAATGATTGGGGAGATGGGACAGGGGAACAGAAAGCATTCAAATATTAGAAAAAAAAACTTATCAGGTAAGAAGAGGCTCCAAGTGGCAAGAGAACCTCATGAAGGAAGAAAGGTTTCTTTGCTAGTCATGAAATTACAAAAAAGTTAGCTTTGACAATGACATCATTCTATTTTATTTCTAAAGATAGAAATGTCATGACAAAGTAAAACTATGCTATCCCTTCATTAATTTTTAATAAAGTAATTTTTAATTAAAATTAAATTACAATAATTATCAAAATAAAACACTGATATTGCAGATGTGATCTAAATTATTACATTATGCTAAAAGATACTTAAAATCCAAGCAACTATAAATATATGAGCAATGAAACTCAATGTTAAATATTATGTAATAAGTCTAAGTACTGAGAAAATGGCACAGAAAACATAAATACAAAGCTAACATTAATTTATGTAGTACATCATATTTTAAAGCATTTTCATATACAGCTTCCCATTAAAAAACTGACATATTAACTAAGATAAGAGATAATAAGGTTCTAAAGGGAAATGTTCTCATGTACTCATTCTAACTTAACGGTGGAGTCTGTAAAGCCTAAATAAGTGGCACTGTTAGAGAAAGTAAACCAATCGCTAAAGGTGATGTTAAAATGTTTACAGTGGAAGAGTTTCTCAAATGTAGGGATTCTCCATGATTGTTAAAATATCAACCAAAAATTGCAGTTCTCAAGTACCTTTAACGCTTTTTCATAGAATTTTGTTAAAAATTATCACGGGCTGGGTGGGGTGGCTCACAACTCTAATCCCAGTACTTTGGGAGGCCAAGGTGGGAGGACTGCTTGAGCCCAGGAGTTTGAGATCAGTCTGGGAAATATATCAAGGAATTAGTCAGGCATGTGGTATGCACCTGTAGTCCCAGCTACAAAGGAGGCTGACACACGAAGACTGCTTGAGCCCAGGAGATGGAAGCTGCCGTGAGCTGTGATTGTGCCACTGCACTCCAGCCTGGGCAAGAGAGTTGGACTCTAACTCAAAAAAATATATATATAATTTAGTTTCTGTGCTATGATTTATGGATTAAATCAAATCAGCAAATTTTTATGAGCTACAACTAGGAGACAAGTTTCCACATGATTAGTGTTCGCATTTCTGTGTTCATGACTTGGTGCATGAAACGGATCCAGTGTTGGTTAAAACATTTAACCAGCATTAAATAATGCAAGTATAGATAGAATGTGGGTATAGATAAGGCAAAGGCATTCCAGTGAGTTGCCACCAAAGACTTAAAAGCTAAAACTAGCAAAAATCCTCACAAAGAAGATGAGACTTCAAAGTGCAAGAAATGCAAACACTACTTGAGCACAATCTTTGATAGGGAGCATTAGAAAACCACTGCAATTTAGTAGCTAAAAAAGCGGTTCATTCAACACATCATTAAAGTGGCTGTATGTGACAGGTACTCTTCTATACACCGGATGTACATCTGTCATAAGAAAAACAGGGACACCACAGAGGCACAAATTAGAATCATAAAGGCTGTTCAGAAAAAATGTCATATATTTTTCACAAATGCATGCATATGTAGGCAAGATCCTTCCCCCACACCCAAGACTAAAAATATTTACTCCAAATATAAGATGAGAAAACCTCTGGGGTGGGCAGGTGGGTCTGTGGACAACAGATAAAGATGGCTTCTGACTTTTGTGGGGTCCCTATTTATCCACAGCCTCAAAAAATACTCTAAAAAAGTAAGTTTTGACAACCTATGCCTAAACTTACTAGACTAAAATAATACAAATAATACGTTAACAAATCTAAATTCTGATTTTGGGCACACAGGCATATGATGCATTAGTTCCTATACTTTTCTATATTTTTTATTTTTTTGAGTCGGAGTCTCACTCTGTTGTGCAAGTCGGAGTACAGTGGAACACTCATGGCCACCACAGCCTTGACCTACTGGGCTCAGGTCATCCTTCCACCTCAGCCTTTCAAGTAGCTGGAACTACAGGCACACACTACCATGCCTTTTTGTTTTTTGATTTATTGTGGAGATAAGGTCTCATCAAGTTGCCCAGGCTGGTCTCAAACCTTTGAGCTCAGGCAATCCTCTTGCCTTGGCCTCCCAGAGTGCTGGGATTACAGGCTTGAGCTACCGGCCTATATTTATTATTTACTGCAACACTTATTTTATAATTAATTTCTCAACATTAACAAAATCCCTTTCCATGTCCCAATATAGTTTATTTACAACTATTTCGTGATACTTATCTTAATTTTGCTAGAAAATCTCTTAAATTCACAAGAAAATTATAAAAACAAAATGAATACTAGTTTGGATATGAAATTACAGTGATATCAAACAGTTCTCTTTTACAGCTGAGCTATAATAACTGACATATCTCTGAATCTCCAGAGGGTAACATAGAGCCTGACATTTGTAGGAATTCAAAT